CTATGTAGTTTTGCGACCTGGAACTAGGGACTTGAAATAAACACTGGGTAGGGACCAGCAGTTAGCATAATGGCTATGTTGCTGGACTCCCATGTAGTTGACCGTGGTTCTAGTCCCAGACCCAGTGGCTTAAAGCTCACGCCGGGCACATGTGCGTGCATGCCCAAGATCTCAAGAGGAGAACGGAGGAGAAGGGATTGCTGTGGCCATCCCCCATGGGGGATGATTTCTTGCTTTCTGTCTCTCTGTCTCTCTCTGTGTGTCTGACAAGCACATGTGCCCTATAGCAAAAACCTTCTAAAAAAAAAAAAAAAAAAAAGAAAAAATTTAAAAAAAAAAACAAAAAAACAAAAAAACCCTGGGTACATATGTGTGTGTGCCAAAATCCTAAAAGGAGGGATTAGTGGAGGGAAGGGATTGCAGTGTGACCATTCCTGATAGGAGTGACGCTTTCTCATTTTCTTTTCTCTCTTTGTGAGTATATGCACCTCTGGCAAATTGGAAAAAAAATTTACCTGTGGATTGATATGCATATAGAAACTCCCAACCCATAGTGATATCACAGAAAATATTCTGGGATCCATTGTATACTGTAAAATTATATATTGAATAATAATGAGGCTGGCAGGTAGCGTGGTGGCTAAAGACACTGGACTCCCACATGGTGAGCTGGTTCAAGTCCTGGACCTGGTGGCTCTCTCTCTCGCTTGCTCTGTCCCTCTCTGACAAAATTTAAAAATAAGTAAATAAATAAAGTTTAAAAAACTAATAATAATTATGTTTGCAAAATTTTCATTATATTCAATTCACATTAAAATACATTTTATCAAGCTTCCATAAATCTTTACAGACGCTAATAAAATTTAGTGTGGCGATTCACTTTAAAATACATTTTATCATGCTTCCATAATTCTTTACAGACGCTAATAAAATTTAGTGTGGTTTTTGTAAAATCTTTTTTAAGTAGATGAGAGGTCATTTATATAACTAAAGTTAACAAGAACATAACTATCTGTTACATGAGTATGTAAATACAGACCATGTGATTATGAACATTGCTAAGTCTGAGAAAGCAAGAGAGAGAACTTTTGATCTACTTCCTATCTTCCACCATAATATATAATTATTAGAAGCTTGCTTTCTAAGCTTCTGAGAAAATAACCGTTTGCCAAATACTATGGAATAGGGTAGGAAAAGGAATCTGAACTAAGACTTTAGGCTGCATTTGGCAGAATCGTCTTTTGGGCTGCACTAGATAATTAGATGTTATGGATTCCCGCTCTACATGCCAGGAGTGATGTGCTCAGGGTGACCAGCAAACCCTGGCTGAATGCTAGAATCCCCTGGGAATTTTTCAATAAACACAGCTATCTGAAACACATTTGAGTATCTCTAAGTGTAGGGCTCATGTCTCAGTATTTAAAAAAATAAATCACCTATTCTCCATTACTTGATTTTAATGCTCAGTCACTGAAGCATTGACTGATTTTTTTGGGAGCTATTTGTTTTCACTCTTTTTATTTAAAAATTTTTAATTTTATTTTTAATTCTAGAGGACAGATATGCCCACACAAGAGAGAGAAAGACAAAGACAGAAATAAAGATACAGAGATAGAGAGGCAGAGACAGAGTTAGAGAGAGAGAGAGAGAACCTTCTAACAGGGCCTGGTCATGTGAGTATGGGATCTGTCTTCCTCTGCATAGCACTTTACCTGCTGTGCAATGGGGCCAGTCCTGTTTCCACTCTTTGTAATCCCAACCTTGGCATGGTATTTCAAAGGGCCTCCATAAGTGAGCCTCATATTCCGATCCTCAGATGTAGAAAAGAGACTAAAAAGGAAACAATAGAAATGCACTATTCTCTTAGAAATGGGAAAGAAACAGCCATTGACCATGTCGAATAACTAGATTCTAGAGTAAAAGAGATCAGAAGGCAAGTCCTTTTATTTTATTTCTTATAAAGGTTTGAACTCCTAAAACTCCTTCCTAAAGAGGACTATGGATTAAATAAAAAACATATTAAAGAAAAAAAACAACAAAAAAAAAACATGGTGAGTTGGGGAGTCATACTGTTGTAAGCCTACATTATTCAGAGCTATGCTCCTAGTGTCTGTAAGAGAACCCACTCAATTTTAAGCACACAGTACACCATTTTTAAATGAAGATATGCTTATGGTTTGGAAATGTCTTAGAGTCAGAAGAAAGAGGCCATCTCTCTGAATGCATAAGTCTTATTTTGCTGTTACCAATTTATTTGCACTTTTTAAAAACTGCAAACACACTGTTACATACCCAAAATTTGCAGCCTGAGTTCAACTTGCTCACATTTGACCACAGTGCTAACCGCCTAGCTGTGGCTGGCTAACTAGTGAAGTATGTATAAAAACATGTTTTAAAAACCTCATACAGTATAAATATATTATTAGCAAAGTTGTCTGTCAGTCCCTCTTGTTGGTTTTCTCTTATTCATCTCTGTATCACCAGCCTCTACCTCATCCTAGGCATCTAGTAAATATATATTTTTTTAAATGAGGAAAAAAACACTGATTTAGAGACAGTAAAAAGTGAAGGCTTTCTTTTTGCACATACATGCCTCCATCCCAATCTGTTGAAACTGTGTATTTTTAAATATATTTTTTCTGCACAGCACAGAGCTTATATTTGTTTCTGCTTAAATGTAACTATATTATACTATAACATGAATAGTTGTTTTTTTTAATTTTTATATCCCATGTTTAATAATCCTGTAGTATACATTCCCAGAAATGTAATTTCCTGATATTAAAAGCACATTGAAGGGATCAGCGAATAGTTTAATGGTTACATCACTAGACTGCCACATAGTCGACCGTGGTTCGAGTCCCAGACCCAGTGTCTTAAAACTCATGCTGGGCATATTTGTGTGCATGCCCAAAATCCTGAGAGGAAATTGGAGGAGAAGGATAGCAGCGTAGCCATCCCCCCGGTGGGGGTGGGGGTCGGGAGGGCTGTAACTTCTCACTTTTTGTCTCTCTGTCTCTCTGGCAAGCACAAGCACCCTATATCAAAAATATTTCTCAAAAAGAAGAAAAAAGCACATTTAAGTTTTTAATATGATGCCAAACTGCCTTCAAAAAAAGTTTATCTGACTAACTCTGTAACCCAGCCAACTGTAGTTCAAGTCCCTGGCCCAGGGCCCCCAGATGGCATATCAGTTTTGTCACTGGACTTCCACATGGCAAACCACAGTTCAAGTCCTGGACCCAGTGGCTTGAAACTTACATTGGGCATGTGTGCATGCATATCCAAGATCTCAGAAGAAGAATGGAGGAGGAGGAATTGCAGTATGGCCATCCCCCAGGGGAGTGATTTCTCATTTCCTTCTCACCATTTCTGTCTCTCTGTCTCTGTCTCTCTCTCTCTCATGAGTACATGCACTCAAAGGCAAAAATCTCTACATGTTGGGTATGCCCAGAATCTTGATAGGGTGGAGAAATAGAGGAAAAGTAGCAGTAAGGTAGCCACACTACATTAAGGGGTACTTTCTCTCTTTCTATCTCTCTGTCTGGAAGCTCATGTGCCTTCTGGTAGTTTAAAAAAAAAAAAAAAGTACATACTAATTTGTTTAATGTATATACTATGAATAGGTCTCCTAGATTGTAACTTGCCTTTCCAGTTTTACAGTTACATTTTGATAAGCAAAATTTACCAGTTTTAAAAGTAAAATTATCAAGACCAGATAGTATAATGGTTATGATGCTGGAGGCCCACATAGTCACCTGTGGCTTGAGCCCTGTATCTGGTGGCTTAAAACTCACATCAGGCATGTGTGCATGCATGTTGAAAATCTCAAGAGGAAAATGGAGGAGAAGGGATTTGCAGTATGGCCATCAGTCCTGGGGGCTGACTTCTTGTTTTCTATCTCTGTCTCTCTCTTAATCTCTCTCTATGATCAGCAAGAGTATATTGCTGGGGTCAGCAGGTGGCATAATGGTTAAAGTGCTGGACTCCCACATGGCCAACCATGGTTTGATTCCAAACCTGGCAGCTTGAAACTCATTCCAGGAGCTTGTGTGTGTGCCCAAAATCCCAAGAGGGGAATGGAGGAGAAGGGTCTGCAGCATGGCCATGCCCCCTGGGGGTGATTTCTCCTTTTCTCTTTCTCCCTCTCTCTGTCTCTCTGGTGATTATATGTGCCCTATAGCAAAAATCTCTCTCTCAAAAAAAAAAAAGTATATTGCTATAGCAGATTCTTGGATAACTTTCTCAAATATGGTAGATTATTTTAAATTTAAATAATTCATATAAGTTTACTTTCATAAATTGTGATTAGTGGATTATAGACATAAAGAATGGTGAATTATGTATTTGTATTTTTCATGTATAAGAAAGGCTTATTTATAATGTTAACAGAAAGCCAACAGGATACAAAATTAGATATAAATATTAGGTCATTTTAGTATTTTAGTTTTCTTTATACATTTCCTAATTAATTCCTTTTTTTTTTTTTTGAGAGGTTTTTGCTATAGGGTGCGTATGCGCTTGCCAGACAGGGAGAGACAGAGAGATAGAAAGCGAGAAATCACCCCCCAGGGGGGATGGCCATGCTGCAATCCCTTCTTCTCCATTCTCCTCTTAGGATCTTGGGCATGCATGCACATGTACCTGGTGTGAGTTTTAAGCCACCGGGTCCAGGACATGAACCATGGTCAACTACATGGGAGTCCAGTGACATAAGCCATTACGCTAATTGCTGGTCCCATTAATTCCATTTTTAAAATAATTATTTTTATATATGTATATATAAATTAATTTGACCAAAGAAAGATAGAGTGAGAGAGAGGGAAAGTGAGAAAGCAAGCCACCAGGTCTGGGACTTGAACCATGGTTAGCCATGTGGGAGTCCATCGCCCTTAACCACCACACCACCTGCTGGTCCCCCTAATTAACTTCAATGAATATTACACCAAAGCTGAATGTCCTTCACATATTCTTGGAGTCAAAATATATTTTTCTTGTAGGAAATTTACCAGTGGTGTGGTTCCTCATGCAACAAATATGAGCGTCTGAAGGCAAATCAGGTTGCCATTGGCATTCGGGACAATGAAAGGAAAGGAAGATCTCAACTAACTGTGGTGGAAGAAGGAAGTGAACCATCAGAGCTCATAAAGGTACTTTACTTTCTATTGTTTGTTGAAGGATTACCATTCCAAGTCATATGTCTCTGTGTATGTGTATATTTGAGAGTGAGAGTAAGAGTGAGAGTGAGTCTAGACTAAGATTAAATAAGAGGAAACATCAGAGTTATCTAAGCAATGGAGGAAAATAGAGAAAGTTATTACTGTTTTCTCTCACCATTGGTATGACTATCAAAGGAGGTCCTGACCCTATTTTCTGTAGTATCTGAAGACAAACAGGTCTGTAACCTTTTTGATATTGTCTATAAAGACATATTAACATTTTGGAAGAAAAATAACAGTTCATTCATATGAGCTCCTCAACTTTTTTTTAGTTAAGTGTTTCTCTTCACTTTAAAAATAAACAGTTATCGGGACCAGCAGTTAGCATAATGGCTATGTCGCTGGACTCCCAGGTAGTCAACCGTGGTTCGCGTCCCGGACCCGGTGGCTTAAAACTCACGCCGGGCACGTGTGCATGTGTGCCCAAGATCCCGAGAGGAGAATGGAGGAGAAGGGGGTGCGACATGGCCATCGCCCCTGGGGAGTGATTTCTCGCTTTCTGTCTCTCTGTCTCTCTCTGTCTGTCTGGTGAGCACATGCACCCTATAGCAAAAACCTCTTCAAAAAAAAAAGTGACTACCTTAGTGTAGTCTTGATGTGTCTTAATACATGTTGGTAAATTGATTCCCACTTATTCACTGAGCAAATATCTATTGAACTCCTATGATATGCCAGACACTAAATGTGGACATCAATTGCTACTTCATTACACAGGCACAGTGTCCCATCATGACTTGCAGGGTCCTGTCGGGAATTACTGTTATAATACCTTTTTGAGTTTTCTGCACTTAATAATGGCAGTTGGTATCTTTTTAAATTTTTTTTCTCTAATTTCCTCAAGTATTACATAGTTTTCCCCAATGATTCTAGCCATTTGCACTTATATTTTTCTAAAAACATCTCATAAAAATAGTTTTAATATTTTTGACTCAGAAAAATTAAATATGTTAGACTTACATGATGCAGTGATTGACTAAAAAGTCTAGTGATCAAATAATTACTAGGCCATTGGGAAAGTCATGAAGTATTTTTCTACACAAAAATGTGTCGTGACTTTCCTGATGACCCAACATATTGATTACAGTATCTTTATACTATATTACTTTAATAGCCTACAAACTTTCATGATAATGTTTTAGAGATTATTTTATCAGTGGGGAAGATGCTCATGGTACGATCTAAGACAAAAGACAGAATATAAATATTTTATACAATATTGTCTTTTATTACTATTATGATTATTTTTATTCCCAAAGGGTGCATGAGCTCACCAGAGAAAGAATACACCTCCTATTGGAACATGGTCATGCTGCAGTCCCCCTTCCTCCATTTCTCCCTCCCATCATGATTTTGGGCATGCACACAAATGCACCCAGCATGGATTTGAAGCTTCCAGGGCTGATATTTGAACTGTAGTAGATCAGTGGGATCTGGCTCCCTAAACCACTGTATTAAGGAGCTGACTCTACAATATTATCTTCATATGAAAGTTTGTATGTGTATATAGTTTTATATTCCTACATACATGTACATATGGAAATATGTTAAAATATCATCAATATCGGGACCAACAGATGGCATAATTGCTACGTCGCCAGACTCCCATGTAGTCAACCACAGTTCAGGTCCTGGACCTGGTGGCTTAAACCCACACTGGGCACATGTGCGTGCGTGCCCAAAATCCCGAGTGGAGAATGTAGGAGAAGGGATTGCGGCATGGGCATCTCCCTTGGGGGGTGATTTCTCACTTCTGTCTCTCTGTCTCTCTCTGTCTTTCTGGCAAGTGCACGTGCCCTACAGCAAAAACCTCTCAAAAAAAAAAATATATTATCAATATTACCCATGACTCTTGGGATGTGACTGTTATTTTCTTTTTCGTTTTTACTTGTATTTTCAAAATGTATTATAATGTACATATAGTATTACTTTAATAATAAAAAGATCATTTGAATATAAAATTAAATTAAGTATTGTTTTACTGACTTTTAAATAGTCAAGGTAGGGACCAACAGATAACATAATGGTTACGTCGCTGGACTCCCACATGGCCGACCACAGTTCAAGTCCCAGACCTAGCAGCTTAAAACTCATGCCAGACATGTGTGCGTATATGCCCAAGATCCTGAGAGCAAAATGGAGAAGGGACTGCAGCATGGCCATCTCCACTGAAGGGGTGATTTCTCAGTTTCTGTCTCTGTTCCTCCAGCAATCACATGCACCCTATAGCAAAAAAATCTCTCTTAAAAAAAAATAGTCAAAGTAGTATTGATAATAAATTAGCCTGTGAATCTATTCAAAACACATTTATTCAACTTTCAATATTCTTTCAAGACCTCTATCCTAGAGATGTGATCAACAATTTACGTATTCTAACTCACACATTTAGATGCAAAAATCTGTAAGTTAGATATATTTCTAATTGGTTGTACCCCTCATTACAGTAATTATGCTTTGATAGAAGCATATTCTGAAAAAGGACTATTTGTTTATTTATTTATTTTGTTACTAAAGGGTGAATGTGCTTGCCAGAGAGACAAAGAGACAGAAAGCGAGAAATCATCCCCACCTCAGGGGAATGGCTATGCCGTAATTCTTTCTTCTCTATTCTCCTCTTAGGATTTTGCTATGCATGCATATGCGCCTGGTGCGAATTTCAAGATGTCAGGTCAGGGACTCAAACTGCAGCTGACCATGTGAGAGTCCATGTTAACCACTATGCCATCTGCTGGCCCTTGGATATATCCTTACAGAGTAACAGAGATTGTTACATTAACTATCAGATGTCACCCATACTTTTCTCTGTCATCGTGGGTCCAGAGCAAATCTTTAAATTTGTCATTGTCTCTGGTTCCTTATTTGTGAAGTGAAGGGTTAGACAAGTGGCTTCTATTGTCCCTTTTAGGTTTTAGTGCTTTACAGGTCAACCCTACCTCTATGGTAGTAGCTGTGTTTAATTACCAATTATTTGATACTCGTAGTCTATTCTAGAAAGTGAAGCCACTGTAGTTAAGGAGCTTAGGTCAATTAATATACTGTTAAAATAAGAATATTCAAACATAAAGGAAAAAATTGTGTCAAAATATAACTTCAGTTATAAAATATTAGTGATAAAGATAGAGACACAATGATTAATGTCATGTGTTCTTGCTAGGGCTTTCAGTTTGGGATTTTTAAAAAATTCTAGAAGACACCAGCTTCAACTCCATTCAACCTATTCAACATTGCATTATATTTGACAACTATCATCTTACACAATGAACTGAATGACTTTTCAGTGAGAGTCTTCATTAAATAAGTGAAAGAAGCATTCAGTGGGCTTTATGGGTTTGTTTGCTTTATGGTTTAATTACAAGGGAAAGTGGTTACTCAGTGAATTATGTACCTGTGATAAATTAGTTTGACCTTTAGTCTTTCTTAGTGCTGTACCTGTAAATGATAGACTTCAAAAAGGTTATGAATTTGGTTGTGGAAAACTATGGCTTTATTATCACTAATCTCTTCATTAAAATGTGGCATTTCCTTTCATTGTAAGTTTGACAACTCTGAATGGCAGTACCTGTGAGCTTTTAGATCAAATTATAATTATTTTGAATAACCTCAAAACATCTTTATGATCACTACTTAGTAAGTATTGCAGTTATTGGATCTGCTGCTTACTACTGTTACTTAATGAGTTAATGAAGAAGCTTTATTATCAATGCTGTTTAAAAACATATTTTGCTTGCTGCATTCCAATATAATTGGTTTATAATTGTAATAATTTATATTTTATTTTATACCTTTAAAATATTTTTCTGAGAAGGGGTTCCTTGGGTTCATGAAGTGGTCTATAATGCACACTGTACAGGTGTGCACACATACACAGTTGCCTTGTTTAAAATAATGAAATGTCTTTTTTCTTTCCTGAGATGTTAATGCAGTTGCTGATTTTGCTAAAAAAAAAATGTAGTTTAAAACCTAAAAATGGGGACCAGCAGTTGGTGTAATGGCTATGTCACTGGACTCCCATGTAGTCAACCGTGGTTTCAATCCCAGACCCAGTAGCTTAAACTCAGGCCAGGCGTGTGTGTGTGCGTGCCCAATATCCCTAGAGGAGAAGGGAGGGGAAGGGACTGCGGTGTGGCCATCCCCCCTGGGGGGTGATTTCTCACTTTCTGTCTTTCTGGTGGCGAGCGTGTGCACCCTATAGCAAAAGCCTCTCAAAAAATAAATAAATAAATAAATAAATAAATAAATAAATAAAAATATTTTAAAATATCTGTTTTTAAAAATTATTTTAAAGAGATATTTTTGCAATAGTTGGCATGCACCTGTTGAAGAAACAGAGACTGAGAGAGAGAAAGTGAGAAAACACACATCAGGGAGTGTGGCCATGCTGCAATCCCTTCTCCTCTTCTCCTCTCGGGATTTTGGGAAAGCACATACATGCTCCCTTTGTGAGTTTCAAGCCACTGAGTCCAAGACTCGAACCACATTCAGCTATGTAAGAGTCCACAGAGGTAACTATTATGCTATTTGCTGGTCCCCTCAGCTCTCTATATAAATAACATTATTTTTAAACAACTTCAGAATGGATTATCTATAGGCTAACTATAAATTTATTTTCTAAACTATAGAGTAAAAGGAGACATTAAACAGAGACAATAGTACTAAGACTGTCTGAGAAAACAGGATATGTGGTCATACTCTTTATCTCTATTTTTAGCATTTTTAAATGCTCAGTTTCTAAATAATGAAAGCAATCCTGGATGTGGTCGTAACTAAAGCCTACAAAGCCACCTCTTACTCTGTCCTTGTTTCCTCTTTATTGCAAACATATTTACCATGAAAAGTTGCACATAAATTATGTATAGTTTGTTTATTGTCTTTTTTCTTTTCATATTTAAAATAATCAATGAATGTGAAGGAAGATTCAGTATCTCACTAGTCCT